ACAAAGACAAAGACAAAGACAAAGACAAAGACAAAGACAAAGACAAAACAAAGACAAAGACAAAGACAAAGACAAAGGCACAACCAAAAACAAAAACAAAAACAAAGACAAAGAAAAAGACGACAATGATGACAAGCTATGTGAAATAATAGCAAATTTTCACTTCACTTCAAATGACTTAACTGCATAAACACATTACCTATTTACGAACTAAGTTATCAAAGCTGCACACATATGCACATGTAAGTGTAGACATACATACATATAGGCCACTCGAGATTAGCATGACTATCACTTGTATTATTGATTATTAGCTACAATTTCAAAGAATTTAGTTAGATGACACAGACGTGGTAGGAACACCGTCGCGATCCGTTCCGTTTCTCCGTTGTCGTAGCAAAAATATATTCGTATCTATTAATTTTTATGCATAAAATCGTGAAAGTAAGTTGGTGTTAGTGAAGAAAAAATAGTTGTTGTTAATATTTACGGCTATTTAATAAGGACTCTTATGGAAATTTTTTATCTATGTTTTAGTGTATGAAAATAATGAAATTTTAAAGGTGTTTTATTGCATTTACTTTACCTTAACTTATGCTCCTGTAAGTGGAAAAGATTTTTGGAAATTTTCTTGCAATATTTAAATTTTCAAAACCAAACAAATATTAAGCAACAATAATGCTAACATAGAAGTCATCAGAATAATATGAGAAAAGTTATAGTAACTTTAACTTATAGAAATGACGTCACTATTATGCCTCTCTCAGTGCGACAAGTCAAACAAAGCTACCCGTTCGTTTATTATTCAGTCATTATTTACCTTGGATAAAAGTGAATAGGCGCCCACCTTCAGCTTTTGCTTAGATTATTTGCTTGCATTTACAACGCATAAGTATGTATATAAATACATATATCCAAAAAATTGGTCTCGCATGCTCGTCTGTTTTCTATCCAATCTTGCGGTGTAAATAAAAACAAATAAATAAATATTTGAGCTTTAATAGCCCCTTCACTTGTTTAAACGGCAATTAGTATAATTGTGACAAGCTCTGATAAGGAGTATCTTAATTGATATTCGATAAGGGAATTGCGACCATGAGCAATCGCACATACATATGTACATACATACACATCCATGCTAGAGAGCTGCATGAATTCATTCAAAACGGCTTATGAATTATTCATATACAAAACGAATGAATGATTTTGGCTTAAAACTTGTTTGAATGTGGGTGAAAACTTGTGCTAATATATGTGTCGACATTACAATATTCAAACAAAGTGAAAATATATTTAGTTGGAATAGACGACAATTTTTTTTATGAATATGCAAAATAATTTTTTTTTTTTGTGCTTATATGTACAATCATACATACATACGCACATTCTTCCATTTGAACGTAGAAAATTTAAAACAAAGTTTATATTCATAACTTACAAAATTCCAAACGCTGAGTGTTTTGAATTTGTATGTGAAGTAAAATATTCAAATCTACTGTACTCTGTTTGGCTAGAAGTTTGAATGAATTCATGCAGCCCTCTAGTACATACATGTGTGCATACATAGACAAAAATATGTAAACAAATATACATACACACATTCAGAAAAGTACTTGGTAAAGTGATGACGTATGTATAGCAAGTGATTGATTAGTGAAACTAACAAAATTTGCTGATAAAAAAAATATGGTCACTCGTAGCTGATTGCAGTGGAATTGAAAACTAATCACTTTAAAATGGGGAAAATACCTAAATTTTTACATGTGAGAATATTTCTTTTGCATGCCAAACGGAAATTTGTTGAATGGGAAATTTTAAGTCGTCATTAATTAGATCAGTTTTTTTTTTTATGAAGCATATGACCTAATTTCGTTGTTAGGAACTTCAAGTGTATGTGTGTTGGAAAACCTTTATACCCTTTTGATATAAATTCGCCAACGCTGATACTAGCAACTCAGTTAGAACTTTACTTTCGAGTGGAAGATCTTGTGTTGCTGTTGTGTTTTTATTTTGCATAGGTACTATATTTCTTAAAAGCAAAAGGAGGAACGTGCTACGATAAAAGCGTTTTGTGTAGAAAGAAATCATTAGATTAGTTCTTTACATAAAAGTTGTTATTAATAATAGGTGGGAGGATATGTTTGTAGTTTAAAATTTTACTAAATCTGCTATATGCCGGCTTTTTAGCATAGCCATATTAAATTCCTAACATATAGAATATACTAGTATCACCGAATATGACTGTGAGAAACTTACTGCCATCCCTAAATTGGCGCGCGCCAACGTATATACTTAAATCACGAGAATGTCGAGCTGAGCCGATCAAGGAAAGGATCTATGGTACCTCTGTCGACAAACACAGCCTCTACGACGAAACGTCTGATAACTGATTGAGGCTGATCGACTTCGCCGGGGCCCGAAACATGGTAATATGTAGTACTAGGTTCCAGCATAAGAACATCCATCAAGCTACATGGCTGTCTCCAGATCGAAAAACGAGAAACCAAATCGATCATGTTGTGATAGACGGAAGGCATGCTTCAAGCGTTTTAGATATACGTACACTCCGAGGGCCGAACATCGACTCGGACTACTAACTTGTTGAAGCCAAGATATGCACCCGTCTCTCTGCAATAAAAAATGTGCACCCAACAATGCAAGGAAAGCTTAACGCGAAATGCTGCAATCGTAACAGACTACCAATTTATTTGTCACTCGACTCTCACGCCTCTTCAACAAATCGAAACGTGCGAGCAGTGGAAGCATATTTCCCGCTCATAAATAACCCCGCCATATGCGTCAACTACCGCGGGATTAGCCCTCTAAGCATAGGTTACAAGGTCTTATCGGATGTATTGTGTGAAAGACTGAAGCTCGCCGCCCACGAACTGATTGAGCCTTATTAGTGTGGCTTTAGACCTGGAAAGTGCGCCAAATCTCGGAAAAGTCCGTATTTGTCAATCTTATTGTGGCTTATTAATATTTTTTATTCTTAATATTGTTTTGAGCTTTTTACCACGATTATGAAAAAGAACAAATTCTAAGCGGTAGAAGTTATATCAGATATTTCGGAGATCACCACATCTCCTCATCACACTTCTATTTTTTAGTCGTCAGCAGGGATCGAACCCGCGTCATCGATGAAAAGGCTCGACACTCGCCATCTCTTTGTCGACTTCAAAGTCGCTTTCGGCTGCACTAAAAGGAGTTGCCTACACGCCACGATATCTGAATTGAGTATCCCCAATAGATATTATTGGGCTGTGCCAAATGACGTTGTGCAATACCAATAGCCCCGTCAGAATTAGGAAAGACCTTTCCAATCTGGCACGGGATTAGGGCTACGCCCATGATTATACCTGCTCTGCCGGAAAAAAATTTATCAAGAGAGTGAATTGAATCAATCAAAAAAATTGTTTATAATGGCTGCTATAATTTTGAAATCAAAAAAATATATCAAAACAAATTCTATGAGTCTGCGAGAAATTGTTCTCTGCTTTCTATATAGTTCATATATAGAAATTGGTAATTAAAAATTTTTTTTTATTTATTCATAAAATTTTTAGAAACCTTATTGCTAAGACCTCCTATTTAGCACATCTTTCGATTAGTCTTTCGACAGACAGAAAAGAGCTTGCAAGATAGTAGCCAGAATTGAAAATTGGCCAACATACAAATTGTAAACATTTAATAGTTCAATATTTTGCAGTACGAAGTCCGGCCTTTTGGGGCCCGGCTATTTTATAGAGCAATTTACCCTTTGCTCTTCAGTTTTGTGCGTGAAAACCATTATGAAGCCCTTGTCTTATCCTGGTACGCTCCAGCTCCTAAAAAAAAACTGCAGAAAAAAATTGTTTCCCGAAATTTATTTTTTAATTTTTTGAGCTATGACTTTTTTCTAACGAACGAACGATAACAAATATGAACAAATCAACGATATGCGATAAGCGATATGCGGCTTACTGATAAGCTGATCTTCGCGACACGCTGAGTTGGGCAACAACAAACAAATTTGAAGTGACAAAATATACTTGATTGTTAGCGGCAAACATAAAGTAGCAACTTAATAAATAACACTCACTTAAGCCATAAAGTCATTGTGTGTCAAGTAATGACACAAGATATCACACATAAACAAAATAAAAACACTTAGGGCCATTTTCTAATGTAAGCAGTAAAGTTGCCTTTACTAACAGGGCAGATAAATTGTTCCTCACTTTAAAGTGTTTTCGTTCTCTTACCTTGCCGGTAAAAATAAATTTGTTATTTCGTAGAGTGAAACTTCACTACAGTTCCGAGAGTGAAACTTCACTACATTCGTCATATAATTTCAAAGGTTGGCAATGCAACATAAGCAAATATAGAGCAAGAGCAACTGTTAGCAAAAACCAAAACCTTTGGTTGAAATATCTAATATAGCTGGCTCATGAACCAAAACCAAACCAAAATTTAAAGTTGGGTACAAATTTTAAAGGTTGCATCGGGTGAGCAACAGTTTATCGATTCGAGAATTTAATGCGCTGATGAGAAAACGAAAACTCGTATATCGGGACGATAAAGTGGCCGGTAAACTAAAGGTTAGATGAGAAAACGGCCCTTAATCGCTTTCTTGTTGAGCACTGTAGCGCGATTTATCGATAGATTTGCTTGCCGATAATGCCTGCGGGGCGGCCGTTTATATTCAGATATTCATATGTACATACATACTTTTGAGTGTGTGTGTTAAGAAATTATTGCTTTCGTATTTTAACTTTGCCACCAATGTACTCGCTAAACTCTTATAAATATAAATCGAGGTAACAATTTAGTTTACATTTTTCTTTTTAGCCATAAATAAACATATCACGAAATCAACTGCTTATACAAACACACACACGCACACGTACGAAAAGTGTCGCGTCATAGTGCACACTAGCAATCTTGATAACCAACCATTCAATTGTGAATGAAACGTCAGCATGGGTGATATGTTCCGCAGTGAATCGATGGCCTTGTGCCAGATGTTTATACAACCGGAAGCGGCGTATTCATCGTTGGCCGAACTGGGCGAAAGCGGTTGTGTGCAATTTCGTGATGTAAGTGCATACATATGTAGGTGTTTTTCAAAATAAAATAGCAACAACAATACAATGTATGTATTTACAATGTATGTATATGCAGTAAGCGCAAAAATTGTTGACATCCCAAGGTTTAGCATCCAAAAAAAAAAGAAAGAAAAAAAATATGAAGTACCTAAAATGTTTACGGTTCACTCACCCCGCTCACCGGCATTGCAGCATTTTTTTACTACCTTACGACATATGCATGTACATTAGAGTGCATCACAAAAAAGTGACGGTTTTATTAGGTATATTTTAAGATTTCCGCCGAAATATTTCTTTAAAATATTACCATTTACCTGAGCTGCACCCTTTCGAAAATATCACCAAAACTCTTATTATTTTGATTCTGCTGATAAAATTAAAAAAAAAAAATGTATGCAAACTAGGATGCTCGATTATTCGTCTGTTTCCCCAAGTTCGCGTTTCGAGTTATTCGAAAAATTTTAAATTCAATGAAAGCGATTCCTTATTATGGAATTAAGAAAAAAACCTGTATAAACCGGGTTTAATTTATTAAAATTATTAAGAGCAGAGCTTTTATTAAGAAAAGAGCAAAACAAAATAAGTTAAATTTTTTTTTTAGATCAAAGGTTAAACAAATTTCTCTTCTGCCATAAAAACGCTTTTTCGGAGATGGAGCAAAAGTGTAGATCTTTCTATTCGTGTCAAAACATTAGGAAGGGGTACATGAATTGGAGAAAAAACTGGAAAAAGCCTCGAAAACTTCGAAATACTCAAAACTTTTATTGAGAAATCAAGAAATAAAAAAATGGTTTGTAAATGGTAAAAAATCCGATTCGATTCGATATTCAAAAAATGCTGATTTCAAAAAAACGGTGGAAATCAGTTTATAAGAACCGAGTCAATCACCCCAATGCAGACCTTTTAAGCTTAAGCTTGTCTATCGTCTGAGGAGGTTTTTGGAAAAATTATATTTAAAAACTAAACTTGTTTATAAAAAAAAACTCGGGTCCAGCTTAAACCTTAATATTTTTACGAAATATTTCGGCAGAAGTCTTAACCCTCAGTACAAAAAATCAGCCGCTGAAACTAAAGATGTAAAAATGTGTGTATCGGCTAATTTTGGGTCATTGATTTCAAAAATACAATCAAAAATTTTATAAAACTGTTAGTTTTACCATTATTCAGCATCCATTATATTGGACAGTGGTACACTAGATCTGTAAACAGGAAAGTGATATCGATAATTTTTCGTTTTTTTTCTTTTGCGAAATATATTTCAAAACTGAGAATAACATTTAACATTTTTTTCGGATCTCAATTCCATTTAATTTGTTCATATATGTTACACAACCAAATGTCCATTTTTGTGACACATTTCACTTTTGTGAAAAATCACTGTAAACTGCATCCCGAAAGTAGAGTAAAAGAAATGCGGTAAATAAGAATAATATACTTTTTCTCAAAACCACTGTTTTAAAAACAAAAGCTCTTATTTAAGAAAAAAAGAGCTTTAGGTAAAAAAAAGTTTGTCCAATATATTGAACAATTGCACTGAAAGGGTTAAAATATAATAACTTATAAGATTTCCGATGGAAAACCGGTCCGATTTTTTTTTTGTATGGAGAGTAATGCACCCTAATGTACGTACATATATACATTTTATGCTTTATTTATACTTTATGGGTAAATAATAAATTATTTTGTAAAATATTTTTTCGTTTCATTTCATTTCCAGCTGAATGCTCAAGTCAGTGCTTTCCAGCGCAAATTCGTTTCAGAGGTCAGACGCTGCGACGAACTGGAGCGTAAAATACGATACATCGAAAATGAGCTACGCAAAGATGACATCAATATGCCTGAGGTGCTAGACGAACCACCACCACCATATCCGCGGGAAATCATCGACCTGGAAGCGCAAGTGGAAGTGGTCGAAATGGAAATACGTGAGCTGGCCGGCAACACTGTCAATCTGAAAGCCAATTACCACGGCATGCTCGAACTGAGACTTATGCTTGAGAAAGCGAATGATTTCTTCGCCGACACGGAAGTCATCAAGATGACTTCACATCGTTTCTCAGACGCTGTCGAGTATGCGCCACCCTTGCCCGGTCAACAACAACGCGGCCAACTGGGCTTTGTGGCTGGCGTCATTAACTTGGAACGTTTCTTCTCATTGGAACGTATGTTGTGGCGTATTTCACGCGGCAACGTATTCATCAAGCGTAGTGATGTCGATGACACGTTACTCGATTTGAATACGGGCAATCAGGTCCCGAAAGCCATCTTTGTCGCCTTCTTTCAGGGCGATGAACTAAAGCAACGCATCAAGAAAGTGTGCGCCGGTTATCACGTCTCACTATATCCCTGTCCTAGCTCAGCTACTGAACGTCAAGAAATGCTAAGCGATGTACGCATACGTATTGAAGATTTGCAGCTGGTACTTAATCAGAGCGAAGATCATCGCAATCGCATATTGGTCGCGGCGGCGAAAAATTTACCTTATTGGGCGGTGATGGTTACCAAAATGAAAGCGATCTATCATACGCTTAACTTCTTTAATATGGACGTGAGCAGCAATTGGCTGATCGGTGAGGGCTGGGTGCCGACGCGTGATCTGCCTGTAGTGCGCGATGCGCTCGCTAGAGCTTCGACCAAAGTCAACAGCACAGTTAGTTCCTTCCTGAATGTGATCGAGACAAACGAACAGCCGCCGACCTTTTATAGAACAAATAAGTTTACACGCCCCTACCAGAATTTAATCGATGCTTATGGTCTCTGCACTTATCACGAAGTTAATCCGGCGCTCTACGGTTGCATCACTTTTCCTTTCTTGTTTGCGGTGATGTTCGGCGATTTGGGACATGGTTTCATTCTATTACTTATTGGTCTCTACATGGTGTGGAAGGAGGAGAAACTGAGCCAAATCAAGGGTGAAATATTCAATATATTCTTTGTGGGCCGCTATATTATACTACTTATGGGCCTATTTGCCATGTACACTGGTTTCGTGTACAATGATATCTTCTCCAAATCGTTTAATATTTTTGGATCAGCATGGCATGCAGATAGCATACCTGTACCTAATGGAACTTTCAATGGCGGTGAATTGATAATGTTGGACCCTTTGAATAGCTTGAATGACGTTTATGCCTATGGCATGGATCCGCTCTGGTCAGTGGCTGAAAATAAGATCATCTTCTTGAATGCCTACAAAATGAAGCTCTCCATCATATTCGGTCTCTTACACATGGCGTTCGGCCTTATATTGTCGCTCGTTAATTTTGTACATTTCAAGCAGTATGCGCGCATTTTCTTAGATTTTTTGCCACAGCTGCTCTTTTTGATGTTCCTCTTCGGCTATTTAGTGTTCTTAATGTTCTTCAAATGGGTGAAGTATTCCGGCAGGGCAACAGAGCAGGTTCTTACGCCTGGCTGTGCACCATCTATACTCATTTTATTCATCAATATGCTGTTATTTGGCAACACTGAACCCAAGGAGGGTTGCAAGGAATATATGTTCGAATACCAAAAAATCGTGCAAATAATACTTGTGGCGTTGGCAGTTTTGTGCATCCCATGGATGCTGTTGGGTAATCCGCTGCTGGAGGCACGCAAGCGTAAACAGAGAGTGGTAAGTAAATAATGCTCATAAATGTTTAAGAGTTCAAATAATAATTTCTATTACGTACTTAGCTGACAGTGGCCACAAATGGGATCACAAATGAAGCATTTGAAGATCACAACAACGCAGTTGCGAGTGCGCCAGCTAAACCAGCTGCATCAACACACGGCCACCATGAGAGTGATGAGGACGAACCTATGAGTGAAATCTACATCAAACAGGCCATACACACTATCGAATATGTATTGAGTACTATATCTCATACGGCGTCGTATCTTCGCTTGTGGGCTCTGTCGTTGGCGCATGCGCGTAAGTATATTCGCTCAATTTGCTGAACAAATACTTGAAAATTCCGTATTTTTAGAATTATCAGATGTTCTGTGGAAAATGTTGGTTCATGTGCCTATCAGCTTTCCAATGCCATTCGGTGGAATTATGGTGGGAATTCTCTTCACACCATGGCAATTTTTTACGATCACCATACTCGTTATTATCGAAGGATTATCGGCATTTTTGCATACTCTGCGTTTACACTGGTAAGTAATTGAATTAGCTATTTGCTTAAGTATTCAAGAAGATCGTTTGATGATAGTACGTCGGCACGGAAGTGAAACTTCTTTCTAATACCCGCATAGTTCACTGTATTACACACGTATTTTTCCGCATAATAATGAACAATTATCTTAATCCTAATTCCAATCTTAATCTAAATCTTAACCTTAACCATAACCTATATCTAATCTTTACTTTTTCCGCTAAACTTAACCGAAACTTTTACCTTAACTTTAACCTTAACCTTAGCCTTAACCTTAACCTTAACCACAAATTAGCTTTAACTTTTATTTTAAACCAAACCTTAGTCTTAACCTTAACCTTAACTTTGACTTTAACCATAACCTTAACTTTAACTTTGACTTTAACTATAACCTTAGCCTTAACCTTATCCTTAACCTTAACCATTACCTTGGCCTTAACCTTAGTTGAACCTTATCATTTGCGTTAACCTTAACCTTAACCTTAACCTTAACGTGAATCTTAAACTTAATTTCAATATTCATATTTTCTATCGAAATCTTAATCTTTATATAAGTCTTAGGGCCTTTGTCATCATCTATGGTTAAGACTAATCTCCAGGTAAACATCTTTACCGACGTAATTGACTCCATGCATAAAACACTGAGTTGATAACGTCGGTAACGATGTTTAACTGGGGATAACTTTTAACCAGAAATAGGGAAAACGGCCCTTAGTCTTAATATTGATCTCAAATTTAATATTGATCTTAATCCTACTAATAATCGTGACCAACCGACCCCACCATCGCCTCCCTTCTTCCCTTCTATGTTTCACTTCAAAAATAAATATACAAGGCAAAAAACTAAAAATACAATTATCTTCTTATGAGGGGCTATTGGTAGTTATCTGTATGAAGTGATGGAAATTAACAGACCTCGGACTCCCATTCAGCGCGTCAAATAACATGGGGATATAGAAAGTTGGTTCCATAAGCAGGCACTTTTTTTTTGTAAACCTGTATAATTTTGTAAAAAGTTAACGAAAAATAAAAAAATTTGGAGTACTCACTTTGGTGTAAAAACCCAAGGGAGGCTAATTTGCAAAATCTATGTTCGCTATTTTAAAAACCCTCATTAGAGGGTTAACTTCTTTGTCGCCAAACAAACGAGAGGACGGTATAGTAGAAACAGATTCTCATTTTCGAAACAGATTTTTAAACCTGCTATTTCTGTAAACGGCTGAGTATGGCGGCTCAAAAGACATTTTGTAATTAACGTATACTGGATTGAATATTATTATATTTTATATTTTATTTCGAATAATTTTCACCATTTGTAAATACATATATTTTTTTTTAAATAACTGCTTCTGTTTTTTGCAGGGTCGAATTCATGAGCAAATTTTACGATGGCGTTGGTTACGCGTTCCAACCTTTTTCCTTTAAAGCAATACTGAACGGCTCTTACGAAGATTAAGAAAAAAAAATACTATATTTAGCCACGAAACTGGCATTAAAAATATGTTTTATAAGAAATTGTACATATGTATATTGCACAAAGTAATAGTAAAGTTCTTAGATGATAATGGAGATGGACAAATTATATTACCTCTCTGTAATTAAGAGACATATAGTTAAGATGCATTGATAAGACACGTCGAGTATTTATTTTGTTTAATAAAAAGTTTAAACAAATCTTTGGTTATATGGAAAAACTTTAAAGGTACTTCTTAAAAAACAAAGAAAATAAGAGAAATTAATGTACCAGAGAGCAGATCGAGTCAGCAAGTTTTGTGAGCGGTTATATTTACATCAAAATTTCAGCGAAACTATTACACAAGGACCACACATATGCAAGAACCAAATTATAAGTAAGAACTTTTCCAAAATTTTTTATTGATATAACAAAGTTCGAGAATTTAAAATTTTTTGAAAATTTTGAAAACATCAACGTTCCAAATTTTTTTGAATCGTCAAGAATTACGAAAATTTTTTAAATTTTCAAGAACGCCGAAATATGAAAATGTTTTCAACATTCGAAAACTTTTAATTTCGTTTGATAAATTTTGTATATTCGACACTTTTACTTAAAAAAAATTTGTTAGAATTCCTACAATTCTCAAAATTTTTTCAAAATAAAAAATTTCTAGAAATCTAGTGTTCATCATTATATTGAGTTATTGGGATTTACTAAAATTTCTCAAATTCAAAAAGTTTTGAAAGTTTAGAAAATTTTGGAATTCCACTCAAGTTATTAAAAAGGGGAATTATCAAGAAATTAAAAATTATCAAAACTCTAAAAATTTTAAATTGCGGTGATTTTTAAATTTATATACACGATATATGTTGAAAAATTAACCTATCAGTTCTTATTTTTATTGACATTTCAATGCATTTTTAATAATTAATTGCCAATTAATAATTTGAATTTTTGTATGATAAATTCGGTAACAATTAAGGCCTAAATTGGTGAAAAGGTTCTTACTTGCCAATTAGGTGCCTGTTTGAACATAGTCTAAGGAAGCCTGTCTGTACATAACGGTTGTTGGGTCATCTGTCCCTGGATTTTCTCAAAAACAGGTACAACTATATCAAAATCTCGAAACCGCCTTCCAGGAAAACACTTGGAAAAGTTGATGTTTTTGGGAAACATAACAAAAAAAAAAGTTCTTTCCTTAAACTTATTTTATATAAAAAAAAATCTCTATTAATCTTGTAAATATGTATTCTAATGTTTTCGAAATCAAATCCTTTACAAAAATAATTGTTGTCTTAAATTTTTGCGTGAAAAAAATTAAAAAAAATTATCTTGTGAAAATGCATTTTTTTTTTGAAAAAAAAAAACACACAATAAGTTTGAAAATATGCAAAATAGTATTTCTATGTACAAGTACTCGATACCTTTCCGATACTGAGTAGGTATCGATACCTTGTTTGATACAAGTATTTACAAATACTGATTTTAGTAATACCTTGATGGTATCGATTTATCCCTAGCTATTACTTTGAAGATTTTTTGCGTTAAAAATTAGCGATAGCGAATGTTGGAATCCGGCTGTGGGTAGAGAAGAACTTGAGCATTTCCAGTATACGTTAGTTGCAACGGAAGGGACTAAGAAGAAGACGAATAATTGGGAATGACTCTTAGCATAATTTTAATCTTGATTTGTCAAAGTCCGATGCAACTATGAGAAATACGTATAGGGAAAAGTGAGGTGTATTTAAACTATATATCCGACACACGTGGCATTTGGCCCATTTTGTACTTCGTTATATTAGACAAAACTGAATATGGCTGTGCCCAAAAATATTTTTTTTAATATCAGCTTACATTAAAGGCTTCATTTTCTTGCTCAAAATTCTTTACGTATGTATGCCTCTTAAGTTACAAAAACAATTTGCGAGGGTAAAAGGCTTATTATTAGCATTAACACCCTGACTGCTTACCAGTGTAAACAAACGAAGTACACAGTAATAGTAGCAACAATGATATTATCAGCAACAGCAGAAACAACAACAATATCCGTACTGCTGTAAGTGTAACATAAACAGACAGAACATAACAGTAACAATGGATGCGAACAAAGCGGAACTAACACATAGACAGTTGAATAGATAATTTCTGAAATGCTGAAGGACAACAGCCTCAGTCAACAACAAAAACACGAATGACGTTAACTCTAACAGCAATTGCAGTAACAACAACAATCGAAACAACCTGGTACACATGAATAATAACAATAACAGTTAGCATTGAGAGCGCTTGTGCGTCAACCCAGTCGGCAATTTGAAGAATGCTTTCAATTCACAACGTCTTCAGGCAGAGCTTTTGCAATAGAAACCTTTCCATGGAAGTTTCACGAAATGTTCTTCGAATGGCTCTGATATTCGCAGACAGATAAGAAGGTGTATGTGTACTGCAACGGAAAGTAAGAAAAAATAGAAACATTTGGATGCCCCGATGCGTGTCTTGATCAGAGTTATACTTCTTGGCTTGTATTTGATATAAATTTTACGCTTCTTGAATGCCCGACTCCGGTTGCTTACAGAAAAAGGAAGACGTACCGATTGGAATAAGTTCAGAAAGTTCCCACCAGAGCCTCTGGCCAATAACACTTCTCTCAGTAAGTTTGGCCTACTGTCGTCACCGATATGAAACCGAGAATCAGGGATTATGTAAACTATGGGAATATACAGAGGAGAACTCGGATTTGAATACTAATATACACATTGGTGGACCAGCCTCTCCTAGCAACGAAATCATTAACCTACTTAATTCTGCAAAGAAAAATGTTTCTTAGCCTGCCTACAAGGACGTCTGAAAGAATTTCTGCAACCGGCGGGAAATCGATTAAGAAAAGTGTACTGTCATCTGCGATGTACGTAAGTAGATATCGTATCACGAGGAAATGCCTACTGGGACCTACAAATCTCTTTGTATGAATCTGGCATTGCATTCTATATCCGTTGTTATAAGACTTACGTAATACAATTGTCAATTCTGGCCACCATATTAAAAGCTCTTTTCTGCCCTTGGAAATACATACTAATTGAAAGATCTGCTAATGAGGAGGTATTAGCGTTAAGCGGTTTTTCCTTTTAGCAACACATTTTTTTTTTAACAATTATATTAAATTAAAAAACTAAATAAATATTTCTTTTAAATAATAAAAAGTATTTAAGGAAAGAAAAATTTAATCAAGAAAAGAAAAAAAAAACAAATTTAATCAAAACAAAAATAAATAAAAAATTATCTTAAATAACAAGTGCAATTAAAATAATTTTTCATTTACTACTTAAAACAATAAAATCTAAAAATTAAATTAGGAAAAGAAGAAAATTAAATAAAAGAAGAACAAATATATAACAATTAAGAAAGAAAATAAATACTTAAACCCATTTCTAAAATTTAATGAAATTAAAAATACTAGATTTTCCTTTCTGAAACGTTTAAAAGCTAAATATAAAAAAAAAAAACATTCGATTACAAAAGAAAAAAATTTTAATTAGGAAAAAATCCGCTGCGTGAAGACTCCAACACGGATCGAATGGCTCACTCGGTGATTGAGACTGTTGGAGCGCCGCAAGCTAAATGATATGCATGTGCTTTCTCTAAAAATAGCTTTTCAGCACGAGTGATGAATGAGACTGGGAGAAATCTCCTTCTGTGTAAAGCCAACGCACTTTCCACTTTTAAGCCTGGATACATCCATCCACCAGGAAACTTATATAAATAAGTTCTATAGCTGTCAGCATGCCACTGGCAAGGAAGGACTGCTATTCACTATATAGTAACTACCATCGAAAACGCACTATACCGTTAAGTGACCTTACAATATCTTTTCCTCACACCAATGATGCCTTCAAAATATTCTTTCGGATTCGACTGGGTGCACACTAATTCACGTGGGATTGGATCTCTCTCCTCTTTGGCAGCAGAATTTCCTGCTGAGGTTACGCTAGTAGAAAATAATCCCTCAAGTCTTATCTAATCTAATCTAGGCACTCTTGAAACCAGCAAAACGAAAGTCAATCGGCATAAAATACATTGCTCTCTAGCTAAGAGTGGACTTGTATGGGAATTTTAGGCAGCCGCAAGGCAGTAAGGATGGACGCGTTTTTAAAGTGGAGTGATAAAAGGTTCGGCACCTCAAGTATTATGGAAGATCTTCGTGCACACTTTAAAAGCTAAGACTACAGAAGAATTATTCCACACAATAATCGCTTATTGGGTGCGATGGGATGAGTACTAAATCTTGACCATGTAACGTAATTTCATGTCATTATGCTGCGATGGCTCTAAGTTATTCGCAAGGGCTCTTACTTACCCTCAGTTATTCTACTATAATAATTAAAGTATAATCTAGAAAACTCGCTGGTTATTACAAGCCACCACTTTATGGGAACAAATGTGACGTGCCTACAGTCGAATGACTTTTACATTATATACATTATATATAATACATTATATAACATAAGTATGTCGCAGCTGCCGCAATGTAGTTTAATTTGATCCGTTGAACCTACTGACACCACGAGTCTCTCTTACGGAATCACCGAATAGGTATTACTCCATAGAAGTGGTGGACAATTAAATAATTCCTGTCAGTAGTCATAGTGTCATAATATCAGCTGACGAATTTCATGCAGCTCTCTATTTACCAGAGGACTGATACATTTGTGTAGCCTACTATTCAACCAATAACTTACTTTCTAAGGCCGACTGTATCTAGTCGGAAAAAGTCAGGACCTAAGAACAAATGTGTTCAGCATTTTCTAGGCTTCAACCCTTTGGCGACCAAAGAGACACCGGTGACCGTTTTACACATAAATTTGGCACAAAGATGTTGAAGCCCTTATAAGTCCAACATTATTTGACGCCTTTGTAGATAAACTTTTTTTGGCGAAACTTTTGTTTAGTAATAAGAAGTCGCTGAATTCGAATTAGTTGTCATGCCTTTGAATTTCTCAACGGAT